AATAATGTCTTGTTGAGATAATGTTAGCTTACAGTTTAGTTTATAGAAAGTGGTAGGAAGATTCTGTAGCACTAATGATATCTTATTTGATTCCTAGGGATTGTTTTGCTATTTAGAATAAGTATGGGATGCATGTTTCAAAGACTCACTAAAGATCTACAAGTGCCTCAATCTATGTATTTAATATTATGGGACTCTTGCTTTTCATCACTTATTCACTCATGATTCTATTGATTTTGTTTCATCACAGAAGTCAGCTAATCTTGGCTAGTTTCTAGCCAATGGTAGTTAGCTGTGTTTGTGCGACATCTTTTATTTTGCCTCAATTTGGACTTCCTAATGGACAGCGAAACTAAGTGAAAGGACATTGGAGTCTTCGAGAATAAGGTTCATGTAAAGTCTACAAGAGTAAGAATAATGAGGGAGGATCTAGTTCTCTTAAGCTGCATTGCATTGAAGATGATCATATCTTCGGTTATATTTTTGTTGATCCACTTTGAATCCACGTTGATTTACTTGCTTTTACATAACTTTACTAGTTTTTGTTCGCGTTCCATATCTCACAATTTGCCTTTCAACACCAGTTGCTCTTTCAGGGTTTATTTGGGCTATTTCAGGAATACACGTGTACACAGTACATATTATTTTCGTTTCCAGTCAAGGGAAAACACCTTATCACCGGAAACTGAAAACATGTCCATAAAATTTAACTTGGGATCGAATCCGAAATACGTTTCCGATGAAGTCAGTACGTGACGAATCGCATTTTCTCTCTATTGTAGAGAATTAAGATATCCATACTCTCATATGGAAAAGCATTTGTGATGTCATCAAGTTTAGAGTTCACCGATTGACTCCGTTTCATAGTTGTTCTCTTCTCCCTTTAGAATTATCGAAACCGCAGAAACCGACGACGTCTAGCAACAGTCAGACTCTCTTCCAATTTAACAACATTCCCAGTTTGATCCCGAAAGAACAGAGCATTCAAAAGCAACCCACATTGGAAGCGCCCCCAACATTGAAAACTGACACTGCCCAGATTTCCCTTCCTGGCTCGATAAAGGCCTCCAAGGTTTCAATTTCCAAACCCACTCATGTTGACACCAGACCTCATACTCTTAGTAGTCGGGAACACAATATTATAGCTCCGGTTTTCTTCTAGTCTGTGTCCGGAATAGAAGATTCAGAGACCCCCTCCAAAGCAAATTTTAGCCTTCATATCCCTCTCCCTCCACTCCTTTACATTTTTCTTATTTTGCTTTCCAGCTCTCTCTACCTAACCGGTGAATGTATTGTTAACGTATTACTTCGTTGAAAATGGAACAAACTATGGAATATGGAATTGTACCCTTGATTTGTATGAGAGAAATGAAAGCTTCTTTACGTTTTGCGCTGTTCTGTTGAACCCAGTCAAAAGATATACTGTCTGCTTTTGTGCGAAAATGCTTTTTGGACTGCTTGCTTGAATTGTCAGATTTTTCTGGTATTTCTCGTTCTATTATCTTGCAGGGATTTCAGTAGAATTAAAAACCCTTCCTCAGGTGTTTTGTCATGGGGTTTTGCAACTGGGAATTGCTTGTGTCCGCCAATTTTCGCTGGCACTTAAGACTTATTATCATAGTCCTACTTTTACGCCACTAATTTTGGAAAAAGGCGCTCGTTGTCCTTGAGATTTATTCATTTATCGGCGATTAATAGTCACAAACACTTGCAAAGTGGTTGTTTTCCTGCGTCAGCTCCAACAGTAAAAAGAAGGGTGTATGCAGAATGACGTCTACGAATTTGAGAGTTATAATTATGTATCATGCCTCTTTTCATTCGCATTAAAGTGTTTTATAATAGTGCCAATGGGGTGTGCGATGGACTTACCTTCGCGTGTGCACCCTGGACAACGCATACTCATGCGACAAAGAAGTCTATAAACCGGCAGTTGATTTCTGAGTTCAAGCTATCATGACCCCACTGCATGTCATATTCGACCACTTTCGCAGTACTTTCCTTTTTCTCCACCTTTGGGTCGGCCACTTTGACATCCATGAATCACTTTTCTCTCCCCCACCCCTCTCGGCTTGTTTTGACTTTGACGTTCCTCCTCTCCGAAGTCCAGTAAGGAGCTAATGATAACTATTCTAAAGCCAGTCATTTGATATCAATAAATATGGCATTTAGCATCTACCAGTCAATGTTCTATTGTACGAATTTAAAGTGGTGAGTTTGCATCCACTTCGACGCCGATTAGAACCTTTTATCAATCATTTCTAATATAGAATGTTTCGTTCAGTTTTTGCTACAAATAAATCATTCGAAAGCGTTGTTTTTGCGTTTAAATAGTATTTGTTGTAAATGATTTCTCTAAATTTTGAAGATAGCTACTCATGATTTCCTCTAGAAACAAGAGTACTTTTAAAACCGGCATTTTAAGTAAAAAATTACTTTCTTTCTGAACTGAATAACAATCTAAGTCAGTATAGGCCTTTCTTTTACTAGTGATGTCAACTATCTCTTAAATATGAATTTTACCAATTGGAGTTTCTGAAAGTAGAATCGAGAATGCAACCAATTCTAGGCTTTTAATCAACTTCGCAATCAATCAAGTTGAAGGGACGATTCAGTAAGGTAGGCAGGTCCTTATCGACATTTGTATTAATATCACTGTAATGATTTTAAAAAATTTACACTGACCAACAACATATTAGTATTTCAAAAGAAAAAACTGGAATCTAATTTGTGAAGTTTATTCAAATAGTGTTGACCTCAGGTAGTAAATAAGTGAAAGCAAGGCACTGCATATAAACGAAACAGCCGCATTTGGAGAAGTTGATTGCAAGCGCTTGATAACCACTAGAACATATTTGGTAATTATGCAATGATAGAGTTGAGAGTTCTGACTGTGACTTACGACGATCTGAAACATTTCGTCTCCTTTTGCTATTTTCTTAGTATGGGTAAGATGGATCAACCTTGAAGTCAATCGGATTCTGTTAAGATTGAAATAGAAGACAAAGATTAAAGTAATAACTCTGTGAATGTTTTCAGCAAAAGCTAAAAAATATATAAAAAGTGAATTATTTATTTCTTGTTATTATTAAACAGTGGCTATTATCTTAGGCAAGATTTTGCACAATCGTAATTTATTTTCACTAAGTCAGTGCTAAAATCACTGAATCAGTCTAGCTGAGGTGACGTATTAAGATAAAACAAACTTCAGCGTTGAAAGGAACGCAAATAAAATACGTTTATCAATACAAATGGCAACTGTGAACCACAGATATTATCGATTAGGAAGGTGGTGGAGAATTGACCTCCCTTGATTTTGAGGCGGGTATAAGTGGATATGCATGAGTGTAAATTATCTCCAAATTGTTTGGAATAGAGCTCTTTATTTTTTGGACTGAGTCCACGGTCTAGGAATTAATTTAAGAGCAATTTTATGACTAGTGGTCAGTTTAAAATTGATTACGTAACGTGAACATCTAATTCTTTATTGGGCTCGAGTTTATCTTCATGCATGTTTTTAATTCTAGAATCTTCTTCATTATCATCTCGGTTATATAACGGATCTTATGATATATGAAACTTCAATTTACACAGTTTAGTCAATTTTGGAAATAGCTCCTATTTCTCTACTTCAGATACCTGAGCCTGCGGTTTAATTCCCAATTCCAAATGGAATATTAAATTTAAGAATGTTTAGACTGAATGTGATCAAGGCTACTTTGACACTTGAGTGTTTCACCTATCAAAGGGTGCACAATAGACTTACCTCCACGTGGTGCATCCTGGGCAACGTATATTGATGCGGCAAAAAAGTCTATTATTCGGCAATTGACTTCTCCCCTCAAACTACCATCACCACACTGTATGTCATATTCCACCACTGTC